TTTTTTATAAAGAAAGATAAAGCTAGGGGCATTTTATTTAGAGCATGCCAGATTCATATTCATTTATTTACTTTGATTAAAAGAAATATATGAAGAGAAAGGAGTGGGGGAGAGAGGCAGGAATTCAGTGCGAAGAACCAGGAAGGAATCTGTGGACATATGTATGCCTATAAGAACATTGTTGCCAACGCTTGATCTTTTTTAGTCATGTGACTATTATATTCCGGTTTTATCATAGAATTCCAACTGCTTAGTCAAGGTGCAGACTTTGAGAAGGTTTGCCTTTTTTTTTAAACTATAGGAGCAGTGGTGTCTGTGGAGTTGAGAGTCAAGATCTGAAAGGTGAGAGTGAGCACAGTGAGGTGAAGCCCTGCCCTTTGTACGTACATCAATGACAAATGCATGGACAAAATGGCTGGATGTCTGTCATGACACTGTGTCCACCATCTTCCAGATGCTGCTGTGTAGGATTAGGCAAAATCTAAAACAATGACTCATCTTACAGTTAGACTACTGCAATTCATTCTACATGGGCTGCCCTTGGAAAAGTCTGGAATTTGCAATTGGGACAGAATAGGGCTGCCTACCTGCTGACTGTACTAAAATGACCATTTGGCAAGAATTCCATTAGTTGCCACTCGGCCATTTTGAAGATGCTGGTTATTGTATATAAAGTCCTGTATGGCTAGGCGTTCATGACTGTCAGGATTATCTGCTCTAGATGGAATAGATATCTGCCCAACATGGTGTAGCTGGGAGGGGGCGCACTAGATACCCATTTCCCAAGGGCTGAAGGAGGAAATCCGAATGGCCCCCACTCTTTTTTCATTCAGCAAGGTGGTGAAAACTGTTCTTTTTGGAAGGACCTTCAGAATGGAAGGTCTTCATAAGTGGGCTGCAGTGAATATAGATGTGGTATGGTGTTTTATCTGATCTTACTAGGTATAGTGTGTTTTTATACTTTTATTAGTGTAAACCACCTAAGTAATAGAAATAAAAAACTTTGTAGCTGTAATTAGAAACAGAGGAAGATCCTATTGTGCAAATAAGGAGAATGTAGGACAAGTACTGAAAAGTTATCCCATCTGTTGATTCATCTGCAATCACTGAAGTGTAGGTGTTCTCTGTTAGCCCATCTTCTAGCCTGGTATTGCTTCTCTTAAACAGCAGCGTGATCCAGAATAAAGCAGTTACCATTTGTGACAGTTGCCAATTAGAAGATCAAGAAGGCATGTATTTGTGGGGCCTGGGTGAATTGCCTGAGTAGGGTAGATCAGATTAGCAATAACTTTGGCCAGTCTGGAACTCAATATGAAGCTTGTCTGAGGTAGTTCAGCCTTGTGTTCATGAGGTACTTCACATGGTGGACACAACATAGTTCTCTTCATCAGGGCAAGGAATTAACTCAATTCTACTTGAAGAGATGCTCTACAGACTCTCAAAGTCTCTATCAGTAATTCTGACAGCCAAAAATTCTTCAGGTATCTGACAGCAAATGTTAGGAGGTGTTTTTGTGTGTGCAGAAGCCTCTTTTGGTTACTGAAACTGCAGGAGGAGTTCCCAAAAGTGAGATGTAGTGAGATGAGACTGCTTCTGTTCTAAAAGCACCAGAGCCTGGTTGCTTCATGAAACAGCTTCAGCTGGTGCTTTGCTTGAAGCATTGTCAGAGCAAAGCTCTCAGTCAAAGTTTTTTATAACCCTTCTACCTACACCTATACCTATAATCAGTATACCTACACTGGATAACCAAAAAGAACGGTCATCACCTATATTAAGTCCATCTTGTTCACATGGAGGCCCCATCTGCTCTGGCCTAAATTTTGCAGGTCTAATAGTAGGACTTTTCACTGGTGTGTCACAAATGTTCCATCCCAATTTCATGGCAAGTAGATGGCTGTATAAATTGAACAAACAAATAAATAAACAAATGTGGTCCTTACTTGAATTGGTGGCCTCGGATGTGATTATGTTATCACAGGGTGGTGGTTTCAGAGTTTGATATTTGAAGGAGTGCCACTCCCTGTTCATATTAAGGTGAACTGAGGCACGTCTCTGTCTCTCACTACTGAGATAAATATCTTCTTAACTATGCCATCTTGAATGTGACATGTTCTCCTCCTGGAGACACAACCGGTGCCAAGTTTGACTTAATTTCACCACCAGGTAAGTCTTGTTTATTTGCATTCACTTAAGGGGTTTGATAGACACGGCATTGTTTTAATGTTGTTTTTATAGAATCGTGTTTTTGGCTCTGTTTGTTTTGGATTTTGTTTTGAATGTTTTAATTATTATGTCCAATCATAAGATCTCTATTAGATGGTAAGTAAGAAGTATTTTAATAAATAATTATCAATGAACAGTAACTAAAGATGCAGCCTATCTAAATAGATAGCCAACATTAAAAATGCAGTACAGATCTAAGAATTAGAATTGGTTCATTTGATTTACACAGATGGACCAGTCAAGGAAATCTGGCTAGAGTGAAAAAACTCAAGTTAGGCTTTGAGTAGATACAGCAAAGGGAGGGGTACATAATGCCAAAAAAATAGAATACACAGTCATTTTAGAATGGGGATAAGTGGTACTTATTTCACATATAATTACATTCACACAGTTTTTGCACTTGTCATTGCTTGGTTAGAAGTAGGTGATCCAAGGGTGTGCTATAACATAGATTAATCTTAGTTTAATCTCAGTTGCATCTCACCATGGCCACCTGCCAGGCTCTCAGAGTTGAGTTTTTGTTCTAATACGTGTGATTGTAAAATGGAGAACACTGATCAATATTGCTCTGGAGCATCCTGAATTCTATAAAACAGTCAAATGAGGAAGAAAAGTGGCCAAACTTCCAGAGGAGATACCGTGGGAGGAAAAACTCCACTTCTTCTCCCATTCCTAATTTGACACTCCATTGCACTGAAACTAAGAGCATAAGAGTTCTTGTTTAAAAGGGCTGGTGCATCAAAGGCAATCAGACGCATCAGAAATACAGCAGGTATGAGAATTGCAACACATTCTGATTGAGTTGAATACAGTGGTTGGTGAATACTGATTGGGACCATTATCCTATCTAGCCCAGTACTGATTCATAGACACTTTCAAAATTTGCTCCCTTGTACTGTAAGTCTGCAATATAAGTTGATGCAAGAAAGCCTGATGCAACATTGGACCTACAAATGAAGTGGTAGAAGTTCTCCCATTCAGGGCAAAATTGTCAAAACAAACAAATGATGAAGATGGAATATCAGGCCAGATAGGAAAATTCCTGGCATCAAGTAGGATGTGTGGAGGGTCATCCCAGCACAGAGTTAGAGTTGCTGAGGGTTTAAGCAGTTTCTGGAAGTAGCCTACTTGACAGATAAAGGACCATGCACTGTAACTCTGGTTCTTCCTTTAACTCCAACTCTTGTATCTCCTCATATGTGGTCTGAAACTGCAAGGAATAAATTTGTTAGGAAGCCAGACCTAAGTTATTTCTTCAAGAGCAGAATGCGAAGGCATTGCTTTTAAGTAGCTCTTCCTCTGTGAGTGTATCCGGTTATTGTTTTGCTGGCAATATCTTGAGATATTTCAAGAGTGAGGTTGTCATCTGAATGCCATTTCACAGAGAGTAAGAAAGTCAAGGTTCTGGAGCATAACCTGATCACATCATATCAGATTGCTAGTGATCTTCTAGTCTCTTCTACCTGATTTCTACTAATTCTATTCCACATGCCAGTGGAGCCCCAGTCTTCAGCCAGGAAGAAGAAATCACCATCCTTCATACAAGCAACCTTTCCCCACAAATACCTTCTACAATGAAAAGAAAGGAAAATTGCTTTGCATCCCTAACCTCTTCCCAAGCTGGATTTTGATGACATTTTACTAGCAGAATTCTAGCCCTGACTGTCTTCTAGCCTGGCAGAAGGGCTGCTGTCAGTGATGAAGCTGGATTGTTTTAATTGCACTGAATTATTGTTTTTCCTAGATGATCTTTATTACATTTTCAAACATAAAATACTCTGAAATGGCCAAGGAAGAGGGTAATTTTCCAAGCTTATAATAGGCAAGAGACATAAAAAGAGAAGATACAATTCGCTGCATTTACAATTGTGGTATTACACAGGGCTACAGTCCTGTTGTCATTTTCAGCTTACACTAAATGACAACACACCTGTCATAATAAGTTAAACCAGTCCTAGAAACATCCTACTAGCACCAATCCTGTATACTTCACAGAGGTAGGTTGTGTTAACAGGGCTTGAGGGACTGTGTTCTCACCCATCTGTTTTATATACTTGTCAGGTCCCAGCTATGTATTCCTAAATGACCTTTGAGTGCTCAAAAGAAAGGATAGCCGTGCAAAATATAAACTTTTTCTATAAAGTTTTCCATAAACTTTTTCTGATTGTCATAACTAGTCATTATGGCTATATTAAAGATGCCTTTCATCACAAACAGGAACAACTGATAGATAAATCCATCACATGGAGATGGGAATGTTCTGCAGAGGATTCACTTGGTTGTATCAGGGGTGGAGTGTCATGTCATGTTAAAGAAGTCAGCGGGACATTGTGCTATTGTGATGCATCCCCAGCCCTTTTGTACATGATTTGTGATATTGCACGCATGCCCAAAAGGTATGGAGCTTGCAGCGTGAGGTTGTGAATCTGCTTTTGTCATTTTGTCAAGTTGTAGAAGTTCATGTTTGGTTATATAATTATTCAGTCAGAAGCAAATATATTGCCTACATATTCTTCTTAGCTCAGGGCAGAATCCAATGGTACCTTTCTTTTCTGAAATCGTTGGAAAGCTGTGAGATCTCTGGAAGTGCTTTAAGGTTCACCAGTTTGTGCTTACTTTTGAAGGTCAAAGATATGCTGACCAACGGCCTTCCTAGAATTTTTTTTTTTTCCCCATTGGATCTGATTGGATTTCAATTGCATCTCTCTTTCTTGTTCGCTACCTGCTCTGAGATTTCAGGACTAGGCTGTTAATGGAAATGAATGAAAAAAGAATGAATAAATGAGGATGAACTAAATCTCAGACCTGGCTGGTTAGGGAAATGTTGTTTTTTGCATGTGTCAATGATAAGTGATGCAATCTGAGGCTGTTGTGTTTTCATCATAAAGTGAAACCTGAGAGATGTAATATTTACACTTCTGCAAATGGCCAGATTTCACAGTCCTTTATTTTATTTAAGGATTGAACTACCTTACCATTTTCTTAGCATGTTCTCAAACTTTGTGAAGTTCAGTCTAAGGCATTGAAGTTGGTTTCTCTTTTAGGTCAACTGAAAAGACTTATGTTTTTACAATACAGCTGGGTATATGCACGTGTGTCTTGACGTGCTTCAGGGAAACAGCAGGTATAACTATCTATTCATCAATTTGATGATTTATTGAACAAGGAAAATCCTGATTAAAACAAGTCTTTGAAAAAGTTCACAGAAGCTGCCATATTTTTGCTTGTTAATTTCAGGTTATCGCATGAGATTAGGATCTAGCACAGATAAGAAGGATTCAGGTCGCCTTCATGTTGATTTTGCGCAGGCGAGAGATGACTTTTATGAATGGGAGTGTAAGCAAAGAATGTTGGCTAGAGAAGAGCGTCACAGGCGCAAAATGGAAGAAGATCGAATCCGCCCTCCTTCTCCTCCAGTGATAATGCATTATTCGGAGCATGAAGCATCTTTGCTGGCTGAAAAATTGAAAGGTAGTGAAATACTTTCCAATTCTGTTTGATGTCAAAACATTGCTAATGCTGCAAGTTTATTACAGAAGAGTTATTTACATCTTATAATAATATTTAATGAAATGTGTCTCTTCCCTTTCAGCGTATAACAATAGCTGTTGTTTGGGTGTGAGTTATCTGAAATGTGGATTGTCTCCTTCCTTACCTCGACAATAAGTTTTGAAATATTCCAGTTATTTTCTTTTCCTTAATGTTATTGAAGTTTTTACACGTTACGGAGGTGTGAAATCCAATTTGCCACTTAGTGTACAAGACTCAACAGAGAGAATGCAATCAGTCATAACTTCATGCATTTCTTCATTACACATCCTTGCAGATTTGTAACAGTTGAAGCCTGCAATAACAGTGTAACAACAGCAGACCACAAATATTACGTGTTGAACCAGCAAGGAAGGAGTGTTGTATTTTCAGTAAACTGAGAATTTTTGTGGGCTTTCATTTCCACACCCCACTTTTTTGGTGATGATTCTCTCTGCATTATCATACATTTTGCTTCAATTCATGCTAACATATTGCAGTTTTTATATCAGCCATTAAATCTCAATCAAGAATTTTAATGGCTTAATATGGTATTTTTCTGTTAGCTGAAAGAGTTCCCTTTTCCAGTATGCCTTGAACAACATTGAGAACTTTTGTTCAGTTAAGTGGATATGATCATTTTTTCTAAACATATCTTTAAAGGAAATATACCAATGAAACAGTGCCTTTTCATTTACATCAGTAGCAACCTGTTTTAAAAATACATCAGGGCATTTCTTAATGAAGGAGCGTCTCAGAACCTATCCATTTTTTTATCCAATGCCTGCTTGAAATTATGTGTTTTAGATTCTTCTGAAGCAAATGATTCACGCCTTTTTCTACTGATTGCGTTTCATATTCCCCACCCACTAAACAATTGGTTATCATTCCCTGTTGACTGATAGTAGGAGAACGGACATTCAGAGTCTTCAACTGAGCATTTTGTGACTTTCAAGCGTTCTTCTTATCTTTTGCAGGGCATATTTGAGAAGAAAAACTCATGACTCTCCCCTTCAAAACTAAAACGAAGTGTCCCCCAACACTTCCTATGCCTCCTTGTCCTTAATGGGCACTTGGGGTACAATACGCCTCCAGGCTATCTTGGTACCTCTGTGTGTGCTTGTCTGGCTGTGTGAAGTAACTATAAACATGCTACTCAATGGCTAAAACATATGACATGCTAATATTGCTGGCTTATCAAGTGAGTGCTTAGGAGGTGTCATAGTCATGAGTGAGGTTATCATACCAAGTTGTACCTTTCCTCTAATTGTACAGAAACTGTTGCTCTGTCTTGACACTCCAAGCCGAGAAGCCCATATGCTTCCATAAGTATAAAAACCAGCGCAACTAAATTTTAGTGACTGATTCACTGCTTCGGTTGCAGCCATTTTAATCATTGATCAGTGCAGCATTCAGTAAACCTGCAAGAAAAGTAAAATGTTGAGATGGAATGTAATTTGAATACACTGGTTTGTATTTCTAGAACTCTGCAATATCTGTTATGTCTTCCAGCTTCCAAGGTGCTATTTCATATTTACATTTACATTCATATTTGGACCTTTGCAATGGGCTGTTTGAGACACTAGGTGTAGTCTGTCTTAACTTGCCCTTAGCATCTGCTGGTGCAGCGTTGTACACAAGTCTGAATTAGCCACCATGTAGAATGAGGCAGCCATAGAATCATGGAATCAGGGTTGGAAGGGACCTTGGAGGCCTTCTAGTCCATATCTTGGGAAAGCAGCAATTATACTGCATTTATTATTATTGTAGGTGGGCAGAAAAGGGGAATTTCTGAAGAAATGTGGGCAAAGCCAGCATAGCTTGAGAAGGAAGAGGCTGGAAGTGTGCAAGTGCTTAATAAAGAAAAAAAAAAAAGCAAGAATCTTGCCAAATGTAGAGTTTGCATATTTGTCATTAGTGGGTGTCTACCCCTACCCTCCCTTTTATTTTCTTGACTCCTCCAGTTTTTAGTGAGGCCCAAATCTTTCTTCCCACCAAACTTAGGGAGACAGAGAAAGAGAGAGAGAAAGAGAAGAGAGAGATTCACTAGGGGGCTGGCAGATTTCATCTTTGAGCTAGAGACCTGGACTGCGTGATCTTAGAATAAAGCTGGGAGCTACTATTTCCTCCAGATTTTCTTCAGCTGCAATTCCCAACACTCTGAGCAAATACTGCCAGCACTAAAGGATGCTGGGAACTGTAGTTAGCAATATTCCTATCACTTTCATATTGTATTTATTGGCACACCTTCTCAAGTTGTATTATGTCATGTATATTTGAACAGAAGGTTATCAGGAACCACATTCAAAAATATGTTAGTCAATCACTTCAGTCCTAGTGTCAGATGTTTAAATGGTTAAATATTGCATTAACCTCACCATTTGACATCAAACAATATTGTACTAACAGTGGCAATATTTGTCAATGGAAGTGCTGTATTTGTCAATTCAAGTGTTGTAGAAAAAGTGTTGTGTTTATTTCTCTGGGATACAAACATAAATACATATATTTCATTCTGCCCTTCATCTAAATCAGTATTTTTCAAACTTGGCAACTTTAAGATGTGTGGACTTCAACTCCCAGAATTCCCCAAGCCAGTTGGGCTGGCTGGGGAATCCTGGGAGTTAAAGTCCACACATCTTAAAGTTGCCCAGGTTGAGAAGCACTACTCTAAATTATCCCAGGGCAGTAAATTACAAAGGAATAAAAAAAATCGTAAAGACTGGAAGAATATAGCTTGATAACCAAAGTAGCAAAATGAGAATTCTGCCACACTTAGAACACTTAAAGAATAGAGAAGCTTTTGCTGGCTGATAAAGGATCTTACAGTCAGAAGGGACCAAAAGTTCAATATCTCTGACAGATGATTACCCAGGCTCATTGTAAATGCTTTCTGCGAAGGAGAACCCATCATCTTCCCAGCTGTTCTGTTGTACTGCTGACCAACTCAATTTGTTAGGAAGTTCTTTCTTAATCTTTAGGCAGAATTTGCTTCCTTCCTATTTCAATGCATGTTTTTTGTCCTCTCCTCTAGAGTAAATCAGGAGAATTCTCTCCTGTCTTCTGTATTAGATATAGAATATTTGGACTTGTGGTCACCATGTATTTCGAGGTTGCCTGGTTGGAAAAGATGATTTAACCCCAGGCTTTACTATTTACTGAATGAAACAAAAGAACATGGAGAGAAATTCAATAAAAACAAGTGGCAGATCTACATCAGAGTTCCCAACAAATGGCAGTGATGTCAACATGACAACTCACAACGATGCCATGCAAATGTCATCCTTATGTAATGACGTCCTGGTGTCTGACGTAAGTCACAGCATTTGCATGATGATGTCGTCCCGTTTCATGATTTACCCTCCCCTTGCTGCACCGCTTGGTGAAAAACAACCCACCACTGAATTGCTTATTAATGGCTCTGCTCTCACTTGGCAGGGAGAAAAATATCTGCCCTCATAAATTCCACCGTAATAAACATTGCAACAGAAAAGTAGAAGAAAGGGGAAACACCAAAGTGTGAAAAGTTTGCAAGGCTTCAGGAAAGCATCTGCTTTGCTTTTCTTTTTTTAATGCCATAAAGCCATCCGTATATATAATTCTTCACAATTCAGAACCTGCCTCTCTGTAGATACTATATTATCCCCCAAAGAAAGAACAGATTGGAAATTTAAATAAATGGATTGGCACCACCATAGACTGAATTAGGTACAGAAGTTGCTTGTCGAGAATCAAGGAAACTGAGCCTTAAGGAGAGGCCCACATTGAAATTCAGACCTTTGATTACTATGGACGTTCAGCACTTTTGAGCAACACTCCATCAGCTGCTATGGACTGTGGACTATTCATTCTTTGGTCAGGAGCCTTTTCTGTCAGATTTTCCTTGCTTTGGAGTCTTTGTAGACAGAGAGCTTGTTCTCCAAACTTGAAACCTTGAGCTTCAAAAAGTGTTATCTCATAACAGGCACCGTAGCTCGTTGATAGATGACTCAGAAAGACATACATTACAATTTTCATGACATGTCGTGACAAGACTTAGGCGTAGCTTTCCTTAACTATGTGCATATTTGAGTAACTGACAAACTGGCATTATAGCACTCATTTTCTGGAAACATACATTAAACTTCAGGAATTCGCCTATAAAAGAAAGAGCTCCGATGTATGATGGAATTTAGAAGGACTATGATCCCCAAAACGTTATCTGAGTAGCAGTGCGTTATATTTTTTAATGGTCATTTGACCTCCAAGTCATGTTTTTGAACAATGTTGCCTTTTCTCCAAAGGAGTGATTTGGAGAACCAAACCCAACCCAGCTATAAAATTGGATTCTGTGATTTGCCTTCCCTGAGATACCTTTGCTAGCAAACATTAAATTTACAATGGAAGATTCTGGTGTAATCGCAGGTGTTCATAAGAGGAGGGAGGTGCTCTGTTCTATTTTTGGCAAAGAAAATGCTTTCAGCCTGTAAGCCACTGGGCAGTTGACTCGTCAATTTAGTAAGCAAGTAGGGAAGATGAAATTAGGATTTAAAAAATAATCCATAGAGAGGGCATTAAATTAGGTAATATAGTTGTGCTGTGAATAATTTCCCTCTAGCACTTGTTAAATTGTTAGCAACTTATACCTCCTAATTATACAACCAATGAAGGTTTGTCTTCTCGTAAAGAACCATCAATTAACCATTAATAGGCTCACAAGCTTCTTGGAATATTCTAAAAGTTGCCTTTAATTAAATGTGGGCTTGGTGTTTTCATTCAGGAAATACTTAGTGCTCTACAGTTCCTTCTCCCCAAAATGCCCCTATCACACCCCAAATCAGAACTGCAGAACTGGGTTCCCAAGGTCTTCCGATCTTCTTCCCACCCAGTCACAACTGTTCTCCACACCTGCAGCCTGTTCTTTTCATTCTTTAATGATGACTGTATTGAATACAATCTCTGAAAGTAATTTTTTTAAAAAATATATATAGATAACTGAATATATATCTCATGAAGTATCTTGTTAGGATTGGATTAAGTGTTGTATAAGTGCATGGGGGACCTAACCAACCTTGGCTGATCTAAAAAAAAAAGCCAAGGAGGGTCAGAGGACTGTGCTGGGGAATACCGAACCTGCAGGCTAGACCGGGATGTTGAAAAAAAAATCTCAGAAGAAGACAATGGCAGACCATCTCTGGAGCACTGCCAGGAAATGTCCATGAATTCATCAGCAGTATAGCATGATCAAGAGAACCTTGACCATTACCTTAAATGGGCTTTTCACTGTATGATTTTTGAAACATAAAGGCAGTACTTCATTTTGTGTGACAGAATGCGGTTCTTCTACTGTATTGGAAACTTAAGATATGCACACAATCTGGCCCCAATATCCTCATGTAGAGCTCTGTCCCCCAGAGAGGAGGCAGATGCTAAAGATTGTCAGCTGAATACACTTAGAAGGCCCTATAATCAAGAGCTTGCACCCTGAGTCTTACCTCATTCAGTTGAGTACACATGGAGTCCTACTTTTAGAACTTCAGGCTGATGATGCAAAAGTTGTTTTTGGCTTAGCATGCAGATGGAAATGGGAGCTCCTTTCATTTGGCTGGAACATACTTTTCTTCTCAACATGTTTCAGTAGAAAACTTAAGGTTTTCCTGAATTATGTATAAGGAACTTAACCAAAAACGTCTATTGATAATGATAGATTCATGTGAGGATCCCTTTTCTTAATTGGCCTTTCTCTGTGCCCACTACCCATCTATTTCTTTGTTATTTGAATTGCATGCATACAGGTTCAACAGTGTTATTATCCCAGCGATTGGCAGTCTGGTGATGTCCAGATGTTTGGATTATAGCCCTCACAATCCATTTCCACTGGATCTGCTGGCTTGTACTGATAGGAAATCAGCCAACTGGAGGACATCCCATTCTGTGCCCAATTTATGCACATTACAGTGCATAACATTGACATTTGGGGTCTTCTGCTAACAGAGCAACTCAAAAGCAAACTTGGAAGGCTGAAATTTGAAGTAGGGAGGTGGTGGGAGTGGATCTCTTACTCACTGGCCATTTTGCACCTCAAAGTTATCTCTCCCCCACCCCCTACCCCTTTGCCTTCCTTTTGCAGAGTTTCAGATGAGAATCTGGAATGGGAAAATCTTATACTCTGGAAGGGTTTGGTCTCTTTTCCTATTAAAACACAGAGCAATATACCTTGTGATATGAAGTTAAGCTGAAGGTCCTTTAGCAGTTTATGTTGGAAACACCAGTGGAAAAGTGCTCAGTAGAATGAAATTGTATAAGATAGGCAGATGGGAAGGATAAGAGAAATTGGAAGAGAAGAGCATTTGGAGCCCCCAAAGGGAGGCCAGAAGGATTTTGTAATAAACATTTGCCTGAAAGGACTCTGAAGGCTAGAAGAGTTGCAATTTTATAATGGCCAGTTCTGCTCTTATTGGCAAAATCATCTGGTTACATGAGACTTCCCGATGCAATGAAGTAATTTTGTGAAAGAAGGTTCCATTAGAGCTGCCGACACAGTCGCTGACATTTACATCTTCTGTTGAGTAATCAAGATTAAAAGTGCCATCTGATAATTTTATTTTTGCCTCAGTGACTTTGATTTACTTAATTTGCTTCAGCAACTGATTGAAATCAAAAACAGCCTCTTTGAGGCACATCCTTCAATCTGGATGTGCATAAAATGCATTGATTGAAGAAGCACAGCTTTCTTCACAGAATCTCATAGACAAATCTTCATTAATAGCACATTTTACTTTCCTGTTTTATTTTCTGCTTGTCCTAAGATCAGCCCTTGCAGTGAATCATCACAAAAAGGGTTCTGGCTTCTAGAGGCCTGGTTGATTACCTTATTCTTTCAAACGTTTTGCAACCATTTAACCTTTCCATGGTATATACACATAATATTGGTTCTGTGTGTAAATTTCTCCAAAAAAATCAAGAGGTTCTAAATTCTAGGGGGCTTCTAAACATGACTTAATGCTTGATGTGGAATTTGGCTTGGGCTCAACCAATTGTAGGACTGGGATATCTAAAGAACTAAACTCAAAGTTTAAGAACCTTAAATAGATGAGTCAGAAGGTGATTTATAGACTGTTGTATAACTTCCTAGCAGGATGGAACAGCTTTGACCAAGGAACTCAGAAGACTCAGTGAGTTTACAGAGCCATTATATTAGTGCTCAGATCACCTACTATCGTTATATTTTTGGAATATGAAAGCTGCATTTGGTCCATTTGCTCACAATCTCATTTCTCTCTCCTCTGCTGTCATAATGAATGCTAAAGCCAGAGGTTCATAGCCCTAGAGTTTAGGAAGCTGGTGGCAGGGATGTCAGTGGGGTGGAAGGTGGGAAAAAGAGCCAGGTAGAATGAAAGAGGTGATGTTGGGTGGAGCACTCGGTCTTCTCAAACCTGGCACTGGAGATCATGCTGGTGGTGCAAATGGTCAACCTCTCTGCGGCATTAGGACCCCCTCCCCAGACACGGGGTGCCTTTCAGTGTTTTTTCAATCTTTCTCCGACTTTTGATTCAGAGATTTAATTCTGGCTTATTTCTGAGGATAGAACATTAAGGGCAGGAAAAACGTTCTTATATCTTATCTTTTTTTCCCCATGGAAATCAGGGAGTTTTATACACCAACGCAACATGGTTTCTACTTCCCATGGATCTTACAGCAGCACGATAGTGATAGAAACCTCTCATCTGGAGTCACTCATGTTTGCAGGGGTGCTTGTAAAACAGTTGCGCGCTAAAGGATCCTACTGGAAGGATTAAGAGTGCACCTATAAATGCTTCATCTTCCTCTGGTTCAGGTTGGGGAGAATCTTAAAAAATACTTAGCATTTAATTATTCCCAGAGTGAACCTACTTCATATTGCTGTGACAGCATAAGGACTGAATGAAAATTCAAGCCACAACATTTACAACACTCACGATAATCAGTGCTTTAGAGGGCAATTTATAAAGTTTTATATTAGAGGTGTTAAGCCAAACCTAGTATAAGATACATCATAAATATTGTTAATGGGACAATTAATTCAAAAGGGCTGAAATCTATTCATAGCCAAAGAATGTGATCATAATTTTAGCTTCTTGAATGGATTTGTTCTAGATGACAGCAAATTTTCAGAGGCCATAGTAGTGTTACTTACCTGGATAGAACGAGGAGAGGTGAACCGTCGCACATCCAACCAGTTCTATTCAATGGTGCAATCCGCCAACAGCCACGTCCGCCGACTCATGAATGAAAAAGCAACTCATGAACAAGAGATGGAGCAAGCCAAGGAAAATTTTAAGCATGCCTTAACAGGGATACTCACTCAATGTAAGTAAACCCAGTTAGTCCTGTAAGATTATTATTGTTATGTTAGTGGTTTAATGGTGATAGGTGTGTAATCACAAGGGTAAGTAGTTGTGGTCTAGTCATTTTCTATTACTCATATATTGTGAGCATTTTGGGGAAGATCAAGGACCAGTCCTAAGCTTTTGCATCTCAAGGTGAGCAAAGTTACTGTATTTGTTAACTGATTGAAGAAATATAAGAATGAAGAAAACTAGTCAGAGGAAATTACCTCTGTCAGCTGGTGTGAACAAGACCGTTTATATTTACATAGAACCAAAGAGATAAAAATGGAGGTAGAGATTTCTGCCTTCATATAAGCACCGATAGGAGCTCTGATATTGGTGAGTGACAAGGAGCAGGATCTTCAGATGTTGCAGGTAACTTGATGAAAACACTGACCCTGTAAATCTGTTTTCAAAGGAGAAATTATATATTGAGTATCATGAAGATGAGAATAAAAAATGAAACTGCCAGAGTTGTAAAATTTATGGTTTGGCCAAATATTTTGAAGGCCCCTTAGAAACAATCTTGTACAGTTAGAAAAAGGGCAGAAAGGGGGCAAATAAAATGCTGAAACCTCCAGAAGCTATATTTGACTTAGAAAAAAGGCAAGAAAGGGGTGATAGGATAGCCGCTTAGACAAAATCTTAAAGCCAGAGTCATCTAATGAACCTAAATGGTGGAAGATTCAGGGCTGATGGTCCTGCAGTTTTTCACATACTGCGTACATGATCTGTGGAATTTATAAACATAATATGTAGCTAACCCACTTGATGACTTGATGACTTTGAAAGTGATTAGGTAACTACGGGGGGGGGGGGAAAGGTTGCTATCAAAATGTTACTTTTGTTATCAGGGTAGTAAACATCTTAAGAGAACATGAAGGGTGGCATTCTAATGTTCTCCTTGTGGGCTTAGCACTGGGACTGGTAGGGCCACTATGGGAACAAAATACCATAACTTTGGGGATGATCAAACATATCTAATATGTAGGGCAAAAAATGTGAGGAAATGTTTGTACCAGTTTGGAAGAAAGAGATGTCACTAAATGAGCATTGAAACTCATAATCACAAGGAAGAGAACAAGGACTATATAGTATTCTTACATAGCATTCTGGTAACAGAAGATTCAACTTTAACTCTTGGTACCTGATGTACTTGTTACAATTAGTTCTCTCCTCTCTATCCCTGAAAATTATTCCATCTGAAACTCAAGACAGGGCAATCGTCAAATTTAGCCATGCTGAAACTTCTAAGTTAAACCAGGCTGTTTTGGATTGAATCTGTGGCCAAATGGTGAGGTAGTTTCCCCTCAGAACAATCCAAACTGAATGCTCTGGCCTCCCTTCATGGTTGTTGTATCTTCAGAATGTTCCATTTCTCTGCAAAATTCCAAAATGGGAGGAGCAGTCAGGGAGCGGACTGGAGTTCATTGGTTGTGTACATGCAGGGAAACAATTCCTCAACAGCCTGAAGAGCACAGCTTTGGAGAGATGTTTGTTTTCCCTTTTTACAACAAATTGGGATGTGCTAAAAATAAGGGAAAGGGAATGCCCATTGCAATGCATTGGTTGATTCTAAATGACATGTTGTCAGTGTTGGCTTGGCCCAAATAAAGTGGTCCATTTTTCAGTGCAGAAGTTAATCGGTTGTCAAGCTCCACGTAGCTGGAAAACCAAGAAGTGAGAGCCTCACAGACTTCAAAAAGGCTTATTTTGTGGCTAGTCTTGAAAACTCCATGAGTAAATTACCAGGCAGACTTGGAGTGAGTCAATTAAGGTGGAATCTCTTGGAAATGCTTTCTTCATAAGGCTCCCACCTCTGGGATGTGTTGCATCTTCTCACCTGAACCACACTCGTGCTCATCCGCCTCTTCCTTCTCCTGCTCTTCCTTCCCACAGTCTCTCACATCGCTGCACACACATACAGGAGGCAGGAGTAGCTGTGTGTAATTGAAGTATATTATTTTGTGTAAACTGCCTTGTGGAGACAGTGTGTGACAGGGGAGAGGATTCAGATAAATAGAAAAGCAAATGTCAAGGATGATATGCAAATTGTAGGGTGTTTTTTTTTTTTTTTACCCAGACATATTAATTCTTTAAAGTGGATTTCAGTCCAGAAAGAGGAATCTGCTGCAGAAGCTTTGGCAGGAAGTGTGTCCCATTGATTTTTTTGCAAATGCGCACTTAGCAGATGAGCTCCTTCCAATATTTAATGCCGGCAGCTTTTCTTTGGAGAAAATGTAATCAGTTCTGTTGCCTTAATGGCCCTTCCTTATAAAACAATAATCAGAATAATGGCCCCCTGAATTTCTTTCATCTTCTTAAAATAAAAATACAGTTTGCTCTTTCAATGATGAAAACACATTCTTACAGTCAAGACGAAGAAAAAATAGACCTAACTTTAATTTTTTCAGATCATGTGGGAAATAGTTTCCGGAAACTATGAGCAATCATTATTGGAACGATGTTTTATTCATGCCTAATCTAATGTGCAAAAATTTCATATGCCATGATTAAATATAAAATATTTAACAGTTCTCAGCAACAGAATGTACACAAGTATATAAACTAAGAACCAGATGTACAACAATCATTTCTTTGAAAACATTTAATGTCATGAATCCCAAAATTAGATTCCTTTAGTGTGTTGTAGAAATGAATAGTCTACATTGCCTATAATATTTTACCTAAGAAATGATTAAGTATAACTGTTGTTTGCAGATGGAAAAGCCATGATTTGTAAATGCAGTTAGAACTGTTCACAATGTTTTTTGAAATAAGCGTGTCAGGTTTGCTTTTGAATCAATGTTTCTTAAAGTTCTCAACATCACATAACATTAAACAGCATTTTTTTTAAAAAATGAGGATGTTCTTTTTTTAGAAACAAAAAAAGTAAAAGGATTATTGAAATAAAACATTTTAATAATCATCATTTATTTCCCCTTGTGTTTCATACATCTGTTATACATCTTAATTGGACATATAAGTTTGCGTAGGATGGCCTATTGCATCGATGTCTTGAGGGACATTGTTTAATGAAAGAGTAGACAAAACATTCAACTTACTCTGATATTTGGCATCGGTTAGAGAGAGTGATTAAAATCCACTTACCACAAACATGTGTTGAAAGGAAAAACAGCAGACGTTTCAGTGCCATTTCACATCATAGCTCGTGTTTTCTTTCATACAAAGGTCTTCTAGTGACTTTTTCCTCGTTGTTTCAGTGTGATGTCTGAGAAGAGCTCTCAACGTCTTCATTCATGGTGGTGGGCTAAGTCCTGCTCAGGCTGAGGGGAAACATTGTTGTTCTGTGGAAAATAACTTTGGAAAATAACTTTTCGACTCCTAGCAACCACATAGATAGATTTTCTTCATGATGATCTAGACCAGTGTTGTCCAAACATGGCCACTTTAAGATGAGTGGACTTCAACTCCCAGCATGGCTGGCTGGGGAATTCTGGGACTTGAAGTCCACTCATCTTAAAGTGGCCAAGT